TACTTTCGGTCAACTACTCGCCAATACCGATTACCGATACTCTGCAGTGTGTGATTTGTGTCAATATAAAATGTATGGACGTGAATTGCACTACAAAAAATAGCATGCGATTTGAACAGGAATGCGATTCCTGTCCAAATCGCATGTGGTTTCCCCACTGCTCCTTGCAGCAAGAGGGCGGTGACGGTGCTAACCAATCAAAAGCCCTCTAGCCCGAACTGTCATCCCTGCAAGGAGAGGAAAGAAATTGACAAGGATTTCAAATCCCTGCCACTTTCTCTCCTCTCCTACCACTGAGAATATGGAGCTTCTGCCTCCATAGTATACATCCCCACTCTCTGCTCAGCATGGGATGCCTGCAGGGAGGTTTCCCGCACCACTCTTGTGTGAACTCAGGTGATGACAAGCCTGGGTTCACACAGGAGCAGTGGGGTAACCGCATGCGATTTGGACAGGAATTGTATTCCTGTTCAAATCGCATGCTAATCTTTGCGGTGCAATTTGTACTGACGCAAATCGTAGCGCAAAGTATCGGTTTCTGGTATCAGAAGCATTTTCACGAGTACTTGTGATAATCCTTGGTATCAGCACCAACAACTATATCGGTACCAGTGCATCCCTACTGGATACCCCTTTTGCAGTGTGCCTCCATAGTATACATCCCCACTCTCCGCTCAGCATGGGATTCCTTCAGGGAGGTTTCCCGCACCCCTCTTGTGTGAACTAAGGCTATGACAAGCCTGGGTTCACACAGAAACAGTGGGGAAACCTCATGCAATTTGGATAGGAATCACATTCCTGTTCAAATTGCATGCTAATCCTTGCGGCGCACTTTGTATTGATGCAAACCACACCGCAATGTATTGGTTTCAGGCACTGGGAGCATTTTCACAAGAACAAATAAAAATACTAGGTATCAATACCGGTATGGATGCATCCCTAGTAAAAAGTAAAAATACATATAATTTTTTTTCAAAACCTCACTAACTGGCAGCACATAGATGTGAGCTGGCTACAGATTAGTAAACAGGTTTGCTAATGGGAAGGAATTTTCATGCGCTAAAGCCATTACATTTTACTGCAGGAACACATTCAAGTGTGAACCGGCCCTATACTGAAATGGCAATGATTAATATAGAATGCATAATAACACTGAAACAATCATCAGGTATGAAGCTTCACGCGTCAGATTCTAGAAAAAATAACTGTAGTGCTAAAAGTATGTTTGTTTTAATATTCAAAGCATAACGGAATGGGAGGGTATCACATAAAAATGTGTAAGAAACAGAAGGAAACACCATTTATATAAAATTTTAAAAGGAGAAAAAGTGCATACGATGCTAGCATGTACATCTCTGTGAACAGACCCGTAGAACTCCAGTCCAGAAGGTGCAAACACACAGGTAGACAACAGGGGTGGTTTGCTAAAGGAGTAACAATGTAAAACAATGAAGCAGTGTTTATTTCAACAATCCAATCCATGCAAGAAAAAAAAAATTTTTTTTTTTATATTTCTTTTACACAGGATTGGGTATTCAAATTTAACAGAGCTCTACCTCTAGGGTTCTTCAAGAGCACAGGTGTCAAACTGGCGGCCCTCCAGCTGTTGCCAAACTACAAGTCCCAAGAGGCATTGCAAGACTGCTAGTTACAAGCATGACTCCCAAAGGCAGAGGCATAATGGGACTTGTAGTTTCGCAACAGCTGGAGAGCCGCCAGTTTGACACCCCTGTGCTAGAGGTAAGGGGTTTCATTAGCTGTGGCTGATTGACCTCTCATTTGATGGCCTACGTAGTTCCAGGGCCCATGCCACTTGGCAAAGACAAATTACTTTGGTGATCTTTTCACCTTTCAAGGGAGGATAGCATTCTTACCACCACTGTAAAGGTTTCATTCTTCCTACTGACTACCAATGTAAGGCTTATTATTCCCACTGACCCCCTAATAAAATGGTTTTAGTAGGGTTCAGAGACCTACAAATTAATTTAGGGGTTCCTCTTGGGTGAACAGGTTGAGACTCATATTAACTAGGAAGCCATAACTTTCTCAGTGCATGGATTTCCAATATATGTAATGAGTGAAACAAACATGTTAGATCAATTGTAATTAGTACAGCCTTCCCAACAAATAATTTTTAGTACAGTTCAACTGTCTGTTGAAGGTTGATGTCAAATGTTTCTATTGTTGACATATTCTGACACGGAACAGTACATATTTGGTAATAGTCAACATTATAATAAAGGCTATTGTAAGATTTTGTTTAGGGGTTGAAGGCTGGCAAATTCATATTTTCAAACACTTTTGATAGGTTTTCATATCAAAAAAGGATCAAAGCAAAACACCACTGTTTGTATCACTTTACAATTAAAATTGTAGGTAGTAGTTTGCCCTCATTTTATCCTTTTTGTGACCAAGAGCTGGTTGAATTTGCTTGAAAACTATCAGATGGTTAGAATAAGGGTTGGTTTGGGTTAGACTAACATTTAGGGGTTAGGGAAAATTACTTTTAAAGTTTTCAATGGAGCAACGGCTGCTGAAGACAATATGTGGCAGATGACATTTCTCTATCCATAATGCTTCTCTATCCATAATCAGGGATGGGGGGGGGGATTAATGAATTAATCTTGTCCAGCCCATGGAGTGAAATAGAAATTCAAAGCATATATGGCCAGCTTTACACACACACACTGGATCTACAGTGTGTGAAATCATATAAAACAGACCTTTAGTCTGTCTTTCAGGTGGCTGAACCCCCAAGCACTGTCAATGTAGAGCATGTGCAGATGTGCCAAAGGGATTTGCCTGGCCTTCAGGTCCTGGCAGGGCTTTCTGGTGCATCTGCACATACGCTGGTGATTTTCTATGCAAGCGCAAAGACAGTTTTGAATTTCCCTAATGGCAAGCATGTGAAACCCCACACGTGTGCAAAACATTGAGGAAACCAACACATGTGCAGCTATACTGCAAGGCTCACTCAGGACCTGATGCAATGTGGCACATCTGTACAAGTGCCTAAGCAAGAAACGCGGGGGCGCTGCTTTGCAGCACAAATAAAGAACATTAGTTTAAAAAATAAAAAGGATGTCCAATTGTAAGAGAGGGAGGGGGAAGAGACAGGGCAACATGACATGGCCTTTAGGGTAAAGGTGTGCTTTCAAGTAGAACTAAAGTTTCATGGTCACAAACAGTGAGCAGGCTCTGTCTTGCAGAAGAGAAATGCAATATCTCTCCTGCAATGAGATGCACCTACCTGCATGTTTGGTGTCTTCTCTGCTGCACATGTGCGGCCCAGCTTACTCTGGCCCGGTCTCTGTTTGCTAGGATGACTGACCAATGAAAATGCCTGAAGGCCGGCACACAGCATAAGATGCCAGTGCTGGAGAGGGATTGGACAGTTGGAATGAAGGTAAGTTTAGTTCCATTTTAAAGTGGTTCAAAAGCCAAAACATTTTTTTTACCTTAAGGCATTCCCTGCATTAAGGTAAAAAAACTTTATATGACTTCCTGTCCTCCCACTTCCCTGTGTAAGAAAGAAGAGAGGAGAGAACAGATCTAGCGCTGTGCATGGCTGCATCTCTTCTCCCCTCTCTTCCTCTTCATACAAGGACTCAAGCAGCAGCAGGAGCCAAAGGCTGCTTCTGATGTCAATCAAATGCTGTGCAGAGGCCAAGCCCCGCTGTATGTGTCTATGGAGCATGGATCCATAGACACACACAGCTCGGGAGCGAGCAAGCACTGTGTGCCCCCATAGCAAGCCGCTTGCTATGGGGGCACATGAAGAAGAGGAGGAGCCAAGAGTACTGAAGGAGGGCCCTAGAAAAGTAGGTTCAGGGCTGCTCTGTGCAATATCATTGCACAGAGCAGGTGAGTATAACATATTTGTTATTTTAGTTAAAAACAGTTTTAACCTTTAGTATCACTTTAAGACCATATGAATAAGAGCTGACCATTGTAAGAACTCTCAGCAGCATCATATGATTTGTTCCAAATCATCTTCTAAAAACAATAGAACTACTGGCAAGATTAACAGGTATTAAGACAATGTTAAAAGGGAAATATACAATTTTATGATTATTAGAACTGCGGTTCTTGTCTCTGTGATAGTTATAACCTTGGAGGACTGGAATTGTGAAGTCTTGCTTTAGGTACACACATACATTAGATGGAACCACTGCTTTGAGACCAGGAACACAAGACCTGGCTCACCAAATAAACTTCAAAAATAAAAAAGTCAATCTGTCAAATCATGGGAAATCAAATAGTTGTCACACATGTAAAATTCAATTAACTGCATTGTACAGACATTTGTTCCTGAGGTACGCTGTGAAATTACAATCTCTAAAAAAATATTTTACTGTTTATGTCACAATTTGTGTCACATGATATAGCAAAACTAGAGTGTGTGTAGAAACTACCAATCTAAACAATATATTAACACAATATATACATATAGTTTTTTTCTTTTTTTTAACAGTTTTGGTTTTACTATAAAATGTTTATGTTAATGCTATTAGTGGCAACATAGCAGAATGCTTTTGGAATGTTAGAGTGTAATGGTGGCAAAATGAGGATTTCTGGCCTGAGGGTTTATACATAGTTAAACTGCTTTAATCTCTGCTGCAAGAAGACATCTTTTTGAGAAGGTATAACATTTCTTGCAACATCTGGTTTTCAGATTCCAGCTCAGCAGCACGACTCTCCAAGCTCCTAATGTACAGTTTTTACTGGAAACAAAAGGCCTTTGCAGCTGCCCTGTAGAAGGTAAAATCCAAAAATACCAACAAAAATGTGCATGCAATTATTATACTGATAAAAGCAAAAAAAAAAAAAAAAAAAAAAGAATAAAATAAGTAAAAGTGATTAACACCAGTAAGAAACACTCTTGACGCTTAAGAAACCCAAATCAACATATAGTCCGTCTTGGGTCTATAGTCCATTTTTGCGATCCAGATTGCAAAATGCTCAGTGTCGTGCCTCTAAAAAAGTCCAAAGCCAAAAATTTATTCTGCTTTATGACAATATAGATCTTTAAGTGCCTTCAGCTCCTCAATCAGAGTCTTGTTTTGGTTCTCAAGCACAGCCATCTCGATTTTCGAGACACTTGACGTATTCTTTCTTCTTTTTGCGACACTCCCGAGCCGCTTCCCTGGAACCAACACAGGATATGAAACTAAAGAAGCAACCACAGACAGAGAAGGAAAATACTTCCACTGCTAGATTAGCGCTGTATAAAAGTATGCCTGCGGTACGGAGAAAACAAGGCAATGCAAGGACACATTAACAATGCAAGGCAGCAAATAATGCTGGGAATAAACCACAGTTCAACACTGAGAGAAAGTGGTTACACATGGCAGCTCAGATTATAATACACAAGAGTACAAATTTACAAAAATGAAAAGAACAGAAAAGACAGTTTTGTTTTCTACCTGGAAACCTTGACATGCAAGTTCCTTAGGCAAGCAAATGCAGCAAGCAATGAATTAATTCCAAAGCACAAAAGAAAGACAAAGCATCACAGAGTTGTGTTAAATAACAAAACAAACACTCAATTGAAAAGAAAAATGTAACCAGCTAAACAATGCCTAGAAAAGCATTCAGCCCGTGTTACAAAACCCTGAGATCACTAGAAAAAAAATGTGTAAATTCACTGGATGACAAAAACATAGAAAAAACAATATATGAGGCATGGCTGTCATCAGTACAAGGCTCTAGGGGTGTCATTTCCAGATGAAGTTGGGATCAGTTAAGGATGTGGGGCCAAAGGTCTCACTAAGATGGATGAAGTCCTTGGGTTGTAGTAGGGGGATGCAGGAATAGAGGGAAAGGAATTAAACATATAAGTGAATGTAAGGAAACATGGCTGTCATCAGTACAGAGCTATAGGGTGTCCCCAGGGGATGTTGGGATCACTAAAGAGTGTGGGGCCACAGGTCTCTCAAAGATTGTCAAGATCCTTGGTTTGAATTGGGGGAACACACATGTTGTTAGTCTGAGGCAGACAGAAAAGTAATGGCACAAAACAAAAGAACCAACAGAATGGAATGCATTGTTTAGATGTTAGCAGGGGGCTTACTGTAACATTTACTATCAAACTATGACCATTGTAGCAAAAAAAAAAAAAAAAATACATTACACTGGCTGTATGTATGACACCATTTAATGTGAGCCATGCATGCAATGTAATGGAAAAGCCATTATGGGGCTGTGTGCACAAAACTCTAGAGCAGGGGTCTTCAAACTGAGGCCAGGAGGGCGAATGAGGTCCTTTGCTTGCCTTTATCTTGCCCTTGGGGTACTTTTTCTCCAACTGATACAAGACACTATTCCTCTCACTGACACCATCAAGGAGGTATAATTCCTGCTACTGACATCAACAATGGGGAACTATTTCTACCATTGGCACCAACAATGTGGAGCTCTTCTTTCCATTGACACCAACAATGGGGAGCTATTGTTCCCACTGACACCAACAATGGGGAGCTATTCCTCCCACTGACACAAACAATGGGGAGTTATTCCTCCCACCCACACAAACAATGGGGAGTTATTCCTCCCACCCACACAAACAATGGGGGTGCTATTTCTCCAAATGACACAAACAATGGGGAGCTATACTTCACACTGAAAAACGATGGGGCACTATTCCTTCCACTGATACCAACAATGGGGCCACTATTCTTCCCCTTAATACCAAAGATGTGTTGTTTACTCCCACTGCCACCAGGACAATTTCCACTTCCAATGGCAACAGTCCGGCCCCACTAAAGTCTGGAGGACATTAAACTGGCCCCTTCTTAATAAAGTTTAATAAAGACCCATTCTCCAGAGAAAAACTAATGCTGCCCTGAAGTGATGTCAGCCAAGTAACACACTTACCACTATTAGTTCCAGGAGCCTCACACATGTAGGAGAAACAATTGCACTTTTGGCCAGCTCATGTGAGGGCTTATGCTGGCATGCAATGTGTTAAGTAGTGTGATTAATGGAAGTCTAAAAGCTACATATACATGTCCACATATATTCCTGCTGAATGACCAGCTTCTGTTGAATGGTCCTGCTGTAAAACCAGAATTCGATCAGCCGCTGCAGCCAGTTGACAATGTCGAAATACAATAAAGTTGCAAAAGATATACCTGTATCCACATAGCTTGTGTGGATGCAGGGATCTGTGAGTTTACCCTGCTTAGGAAAGGTGGCAGGTGAATGGAATGCCAAGGGGTAATAAGGTTTCAGTCGTAGGAAATGACCACTACTAGGGATGTAGCAATTTTATCTGTTACAATAAAACGGTTGTTTAAAGGAAAAATATCAAATCTTCTAATGATAAAGATTTTCAAGTTCTCAATATTTGTCCAGATTCCTAATATGTGATGTTTCCCAATTATACTATGATGACAGGGGCTGTTCACCTTGCCTCCTAACCTTATGGGCTATTCCAGTGTTCTGGGATCAGACTGCAGCCACTACAACCCACAGGCCATCCATAATGAAAAACTGGGCTGCACAGAAGCCATGTTTATGCAGAGGATCATCAGTACACCTCATACGAACTCTTTGAATTGGATGATTTCACTAAGAACTGGCAACTCCTTTTCTTGCCTGACATCTTACTGTGTTCAAGGGAGTCTTTGGAGCTATGTCAGATTATGGAGGAGATGGTGGATTTTGCAATTTAAAATGTGTGCAAATCACAGCTCCTGTGCAGCACATCTTCATGTGCAATGCACAGCTAACAGGTACACTTGTCACCTGATATAGCAGCACGTACTGGTGCTCACACCCAGAGGACTTTGGAACTGCCTTACACAGAAAGATCTCAAACTGAAAACATGAGGTTTGGTATCTGACTGTCCTTGCTGGAGTCACACATTGCTGGGTAATAGAGAAGAGCAGGTCATATGATCAGAATGTGGAATATTAGAGGAATCGGAAAAGTTGGGCTGATTGTCTAAGTGTCCCCACTATGACAGAGGATGGTGGCACAGTTTAGAGACAACATATGACAGGCAAGATAGCATTGTGTAGAATGAGGACTGCAGAAAACAGGGACACTCAAACACAAAATCAGTGACAAGGCCACAGCCACAAGGATCAGAGTTTAGCTACTGTACAAAGCACAGGTATATGATAGTATGTATGTTGAATGCAGCAGACTGTATTTGTAGAGAGATTGGGGTGGAGAATGATGTAAACAGGAGCAACATGGACAGTAGTGGCCGGGGGGCTTAAAAGAGAAGCTACAATAGAAAGTGAGGGGTCAGCCACCATAGCATGTAATGTGGACAGTAGGGGAGAAAAGCCACCTGTAAATGTAGTGTAGATGGTGGTAGTGGTGGTGGGAGATGGGGGGAAGCCACCAGTAAATGTATTGGAGATAGAGCTGTCAGAGAAACCAATGTGGAGGGGACCTGCAAGAGAGGTTGATTTGGGTGTTTCCAGAGAATGTAGTGTGGGCAAGAAGGAAAAGGGACTTTCAGGGAAAGTGGTTGAGGAATGATGCTGAACAATGTAGTTCAGGCAATGGGGATGAGCTACCTTAAAAGCTACTGCAGACAGTATGGGGAGAGCTGCAACAGACGCTAGTACAGAAACTGGGAAAGGGGTACAGAGGTGTGTATTGTTTAGTGTTGTGGACACTGGTCACGGAAGAATGTGTGGTGGAGACATGGACAATGATGGCATGGGCTCCACCAGGTGAGCAATGTTATGTACTGGGGACATGTCAATATTCCCATACAAAACTTCAGGAAGGGCTGAATCTAAGAGGTGGCTATGTGCAAAGTTACTCTATCTTTAAGTAACAAAACTGAAGTGGACAGGAAGGAGAGTAATATGCTGTGAGCAGCTGGTCAGGGCAGATCCCTCACATTTGGGCTCTGCTCTATCCACGGAGCACTCAAAAGGAAAATACAGGCATAAATCCCATTGAAAAGAGTAATTTTGAATTCCCAGTGGTGTCACTAGAGTTGCTGTCACCTGGTGCAGTAAAACTTGTTGTCACCCCCCCCCCCACCCTCCGGGGTGAGGGATGCCATTTTTTACTGCACTGCCACGGCTCTCCCCCCCTAGCCTGCCACAGTGCTCTGTCCTGCTGTTGCAGAGTGACGGCAGGAGCAGAACAGAGCAGTAGACACTGGGCAGGCTAGCACATCGGGTTCTCTGCTACCAAGCCTGTCACAGTACAGATTGTAGGTCGAAGGAGAGCGCTACGTACAGATTGCGGGACTCAGGAGCGCGCTACGTACAGATTGCGGGACTCAGGAGCGCGCTACGTACAGATTGCGGGACTCAGGAGCGCGCTACGTACAGATTGCGGGACTCAGGAGCGCGCTACGTACAGATTGCGGGACTCAGGAGCGCGCTACGTACAGATTGCGGGACTCAGGAGCGCGCTACGTACAGATTGCGGGACTCAGGAGCGCGCTACGTACAGATTGCGGGACTCAGGAGCGCGCTACGTACAGATTGCGGGACTCAGGAGCGCGCTACGTACAGATTGCGGGACTCAGGAGCGCGCTACGTACAGATTGCGGGACTCAGGAGCGCGCTACGTACAGATTGCGGGACTCAGGAGCGCGCTACGTACAGATTGCGGGACTCAGGAGCGCGCTACGTACAGATTGCGGGACTCAGGAGCGTGCTACGTACAGATTGCAGGACTCAGGAGCGCGCTACAAACATATTGCAGGACTCAGGAGCGCGCTACGTACAGATTGCAGGACTCAGGAGTGTGCTACAAACAGATTGCAGGACTCAGGAGCGCGCTACGTACAGATTGCAGGACTCAGGAGTGTGTTATGTACGGGATGCAAGCATGAAGAGTTTATACAGGGTGTTAGGTTCTGCATGATTCACAGGCTAAAAAAAGAGGAGAGGAGAGAGGGGCTGCTGCCAAATAGCCAAAGCTTGGCTTCTGTGTGTGACAGTAGTGAGCTGCGGGTTTTGGGACATTTCGGCTGAGAAAAAGCCCTGGTGTCACCCCTCTGGTGGGTGTCACCTGGGTGTTGGCTGCACCACCCCGCAACCCCCATAGCAACGCCACTGTGAATTCCTTTAATCACTTCTTATAAATATTGTTTATAGGTTAGAAGAATAGAATATAAGGAAGAACAGAAAAGTAAAGCTGGCCATACACAGAGTGAATTTCATCCACTTAATTATGAACACCCGCTCCATGGATGGACTGTTGGCACCCACAGAGGCCTACATCCTTTGATTTAATTAAAAAAATTACAAGGAAAATTGTCAGCCAAACAGCAGCTGCATCCAATAAGTTGCAGAAACGGTTTGGATATTCTGCTTATGAATACCCCCTCAGGCTAGCAGAGTCCTGTGGAGTGGATGCCGCTGAGTAGTGTGCAGGCTAAGGCTGGGTTTGTCCAGACCCGAATCATACATTAAAGGATGACGAGTTCCCCAGCTGCCGCACACCTCACCCAGCCGTGTTGTTAAAGGTAAAAGCAGACTCAGCTTGATTCATCAAAGCCACACCCCCGAGAATTCATCTCTTACCTATTTTTCATAAGCCGCAATTCTCTCTTGCGTGTTGCTTCTTCTGCCAATTGCTGTGGGCTGTGCAAGTTTGCTGGTGCCGTTGCCACTACAACCGCCTGTGGCAAAGCAGAGCTTGCTGTACGGATCTGGTAGGCTGGCATCTCTCCAGTAGCAGCTGCAATATAAAAATTCTGTTTAGAAAACAATCAGAATAATCTCAGGAATACTTTATAGAACAAAACAAAAAAGTTAAAGTTTCCTTGAGAGTCCTTTTTAAAGAATATGTAAACCCAACATTTCATTTTCCTGCTGTGCCGACAGCCCCCCCCTCGGCACAGCCATTAAGTAGGAAGATGAGTATTATGATGTTTCTCCTCCCCCACCTCCCTAAGCTCTTTATGCAACTGAGAACAGAGAGTATGTGACCATTTATATAAAAGGGGGGAGGTATTTATAATGTTTTTATATGTATACACAAATATTTTGCCTTTCGTATCTATTTTAACCTGAAGTGGTTATTTTACAAGGTGAGGGTTTACATACTGTATACTTTAAGGTCAGCTCTACACAACGCAAGTCTTGACACTTAGTGTAAATTACCAGTCTCGATATTAGCCTCTTTTTATTTGCTGTACAGCAGCACTAAAAGGGAATGAGGTATGCTACAAACGTACGTGCAGACAGAAGGAGAGAGCAGAAGGATGACTCCTGAGTTATTCTTCTGATCTTTTGCTGTCCAATCATAGGTGGCCACAGGGAGGTGACCGAGCTGGGAAAAGACAGCCTCAACTGTCTGGCGGTACTCCATACATTTCAGGACTCACTTGGCAAAATTAAAAATAGTTTTAAAAAGGCAAAATGATTCCTAAATAAATGTTTCAAATGTGTATTTAAAAGCTTGCATGAAATTCAGCGTTAAATATGTAAATCAATGTTTATTTAATGAATATATAACTGCATAAGCCAGTGCTGTATTATCTGCCTGGAGTCCAGCGTTAGTGTGGGGGGCAGCTTCAAGAAGGACTAAGGGCTTGTTCACACTTGACTAAATTTCTAACACTTCAAAAATGCCCCTATAGTGTTAGTATGGGCATTAGACAGACTTTAATGAGCGTTTTACAAGCGTTACAAACATTCCCCTTGTGTGGTTTTGAGGCATTTTATAAGCGTTAAAACGGCATCACAAACGCCTATAATAAACTCTAATGGTATTAATGTGCCGCAACCACATCGCAAACACCTGCAAGAACATTTGAGGAGCATCACCATAGACTTGAATGGGAGGCGTTGAAAGACTTCAACTCCTCCTGACTCGACAGGAGGCTTCAATTTTGATAATGTGGAAAGCACTGTGTGCTGCCCATAGTATCATTTCCATTGACATTTGAGGAGCATTAAAACCGCCCCTCAAATACCTGCTTTCAAAGCCAGTGTGAACTAGGCCTAAGGGGTGATGGACTCTTTTTTCCCTTCTGCAGCAGTGATTGCCAGTCTTTTTTTCTTAATTCTTTATTTAGGACACATTGCAGTCAAACTTTTCGTTCGCATCACCATTCCCAAAAAAAAAAAAACACCAATCGGTTGTATTGAACTGTGTCTGATCACAAAAATAAACCAGTTGTCTGGTAACAGTTCCCAAGTATGCCATAGTGTTCATATATGTCCCTATTTCTTTGTACACATGCAGATATGGATATGATGTTGTGAGCAGGGATTGCCAGTCTGACAGCAGGATATGCATCATTCAGATCACATGAGCACCCACAGATGTAGCAGCCAAACTGCTTTCAGCCCAGTAATACTGAGGGATCATTTCTAGTAGTAGAACACTGACATCATCGCTCTCAAATGTCATGCTGGAATCTATCTGCGGTCAGATCAGTAGTACACCGCATGTGCAGGCACAACAACCCATTCACCCACTTCACTGTCCCCTATGAATAACACCAATCCTGTTTTTTTTTTTTTTATATCTTGTTTGGAAGTCAGTTCATTATACATTATGAAAATATGTGATGTCATTTTATGCCCCTTTTTAGATCTGCCTCTTTGTGCATGCTTGGTTGGATTTCTTTGGATGGCTTGTTCTAAAGGTGGTCCTACAAAGCTTCAATTTTGCCCAAGCGGTGAAGCATTGGATGGCCCTGTCAGTACAGTACATCTTCCAATCACATGCAGTCACTTTTTGGCTATTCAGCAACCAGGGGAACCCAAGGCTGCTGAATAGAATAGCCAGCGGGGAAAATTCCTCCATAAGGCTACGTTCACACTAGCCTTGTTAGCAAGCGGCAGACAGGCGTTTGGGAAGCGTTTTTACCGTTTCCCAAATGCCTGGGAAAATTCTGCACATTGCAGCACATGGTGCTGTTCAAACAGGAGCGTTAGCATCGTGTAAAAACGGATGCTTCTGGTCGAGTCGGGAGGAGTTGAAGCCTCTTATTCAAGTCTATGGTGCCGCTCCGCAAACGCCCAGCCGGTATTTGCGGTGCGGTTGCAACGCGGTTGTGGAGAATTAACACCATTCAAACTTCATAATAGGCGTTTGTGGGGCATTTTTAACGCTTGGCAAATGCCTAGCAACCGCCGATAAACCGTGCATGCAGCGTTTGCGGAGCGTTAAAAATGCTCCGCAAACGCTGGAACAACGCTTGTCAAACGCTATAGGGGCATTTGGCAAGAGTTGGAAAAACAGTCACGTGTGAACGAGCCCTAAAACGCTATTCGACATGGATAGAAGAATCTACTGGCTTTCCTACGTTCAGCTTGAAGGAAATAAATCTTTCTGTGTATGGCCAACCAAAAACTGAACTCCAGAACAGGGGTGGACTGATCATTTGGAAACTCGGGCACTGCCTGAGGGCCCGGGGTCAGTAGGGGCCCCATGAGATGCCCCGGTACCTTTTTCATAGGCTTTTTTGAGTTTGGGCAAAGACACAGGGGCCCCATGATCCCCTATTGCCCGGGGGCCCCATGAGTTGTCAGTCCGCCCCTGGTCCAGAATCAACTTAATTATAAATTAAATACATTTGTCCTTTATTCTTCCTTTAATGTTTGTGTATTTCTTCCAGGTCTGTGCAGTAATCCAGTGTGAAACTGTCGCTGTGCAGCAGCTTCCTGTACAAAAGACCAGTCACTGCTGCTCTCTCTTCTTATGAAGGGTGACTGGTCTTGTATCCGCCCCCTCCTGCAGTTCTGCAGCCAGAGAGTAGTGGGTGGGGTCTGCTGGTCCCCTCCCACAGCTCTGCGCAGGATATGTACTGCACAGTGATGTCACTGCTTCTGTTACTACGTAATCTCTAGGGTTGCAAAGGCATTTGAAGCATACAAAGTGGATTTGTATCGTTTGTGGGCCAAGACATTTATTTACAATGAAAGTTTTCATGCCTGGAAATCAGCTTTAAGGAGTTCTCTTTTCAGACATAGGTGAATCAAATATTTCACGCAGTTTTGTAACTTGCATTAAACTGAAGTATGTTGGTCCTCCATCTAACAACGAAGGTCATATTTAAACCCAATGATTTCACGAATACAGTGAAATATTTCAAAACAGGCTGTTTGAGAAGGATAGGTGCAATGCAGGGTTGCAAAAAGCAGAAGTGGGAAACTAAACATATTACAACATTCAAAATCTGCTGCCCTGGTGTATGGACTTACTGAATAGTACAGTGCCTTGAAAAAGTATTCATACCCCTTGAAATTTTCCACATTTTGTCATGTTGCAACCAAAAACGTAAATGTATTTTATTGGGATTTTATGTGATAGACCAACACAAAGTGGCACATAATTGTGAAGTGAAAGGAAAATGATAAATGGCTTTCAAAATGTAAAAAAATAAATAAATAGCTGAGAAGTGTGGCATGCATTTGTATTCCCCCCCCCCCCCCAAGTCAATACTTTGTAGAACCACCTTTCACTGCAATTACAGCTGCAAGTCTTTTTGGGGGATGTCTCTACCAGCTTTGCACATCTAAAGAATTAAATTTTTGCCCAGTCTTCTTTGCAAAATAGCTCAAACTCGGATGGAGAGCGTCTGAACAATTTTCAAGTCTTGCCACATACTGTCAATTGGATTTAGGTCTGGACTTTGACTGGGCCATTCTAACCATGAATATGCTTTGATCTAAACCATTCCATTGTAGCTCTGGCTGTATTTTTCGGGTCATTGTCCTACTGCAGTGTTTCTCAACTCCAGTCCTCATGGACCCCCAACAGGTCATGTTTTCAGGATTTCCATTATTTTGCACAGGTGATTTGATCAGTTTCACTGCCTTAGTAATTACCACAGCTGTTTCATCTGAGGGAAATCCTGAAAACATGACCTGTTGGGGGTCCATGAGGACTGGAGTTGAGAAACACTGTCCTACTGGAAGGTGAACCTCCGCCACAGTCTCAAGTTTTTTGCAGACTGCAACAGGTTTTCTTTCAAGATTGCCCTGTATTTGGCTCCATCCATCTTCCCATCAACGCTGACCAGCTTCCCTGTCCCTGCTGAAGAAAAGCATCCCCACAACACGATGCTGCCACCACCATGTTTCACGGTGGGGATGGTGTGTTCAGGGTGATGTGCAGTGTTAGTTTTCTGCCACACATAGCGTTTTGCTTTTTAGGCCAAAAAGCTCAATTTTGGTCTCATCTGACCAGAGCACCTTCTTCCACATGTTTGCTATGTCCCCCACATGGCTTCTGGTAAACTGCAAATGGGACTTCTTATGACTTTCAACAATGGCCACTTTTCCATAAAGGCCAGATTTGTGGAGTGCACGACTAACAGTTGTCCCGGTGGACAGTTTTTCCCACCTCTGGCTGCTTTTCTGATTAATGTTCCCCATGCCTGACCTATCAGTTTAGGTGGACAGCCATATCTTGGTAGGTTTGCAGTTGTGCCATACTCTTTCCATTTTTAGATGTTGGATTTAACAGTGCTCCGTGAGATGTTCAAAGCTTGGGATAATTTTTTTTTTTAAATCTAACCCTACTCCACAACTTTATCCCTGACCTGTCTGGTGTGTTCCTCCTTGGCCTCCATGATGCTGTTTGTTCACTAATGTTCTCTAACAAAGATTAAATTACACACAGGTGGACTCTATTTGCTAATTAGGTGACTTCTGAAGGCAGTTGGTTCCACTAGATTTTAGTTAGGGGTATCAGAGTAAAAGGAGCAGAAATACAAATACA